ATTTATTTATTTATGTGTGCTTATTCATCTTTATGCACACATTTTTTTTTCATATTTACCTCTTCAGTCATCAGTTCCCTCAAGTTTTTTCCCACTGTGTTTTGTCTATGCTGTCTAGCACCATACTGACATCAATGCTGCTTTATTTAATATGACCACAGTTTTCTTTAATACCTTGTTTTTTCAGCTCATTATATCTGCTTTTAAGACTGCACAATTTCCATTGCTCTACCTTTAGATTCATTGATTTTTCTCTACATTCTCCTTGTATAGTTGAGTCCGGCCTTAGAATTTTCATTTCTTGTGTTTTCCTTGGGACCTCATTACTTCCTGGTGACAGTGGGTGCTTCCCACTGGAAAGGTGAAATTCTGGCTCCCTGCTTTCATTTCTTGTTAAGTCCAGCCTGTGGCTGAAGTCTAGACTCCTCATTAAGCTTGGCTCCTAGGAATGGAACCGTAAGACCTTTTTGGTTTTACCTTGCTCTGTAGACAACGGCCTCTATTTGTAACTGCACTGAGTTGTAGAAGCAAGGAAAAATCTCCTCATCTTTTAGCTGAGATGTACAGTCTCAGTTAATATTTGGTTTCTTTTTTCTTATTTCATTTTTAAAAATTAAGATTCATAGAGATTTCCTGTTCTCCTTAAAAACTAAGCAGCATATACAGTTGTGTTTAGAGCAAAGTGTTTTTGTTGTTCTTGTTCTTTTTTGATGGATAGAAATACTGTGTACCCGTGTTACCATTATGACATAATATTAAATGTAAAATATATTTTGAGTATTCTCGGAGGTACAGCAATGCTTCCTAAGTGTCAAATATAGAATATATCAATTATTTAGCTATATACCTTGTTTTGAACTTTTCATTTTCTTTCTAAAGCATGTGCTACATAAATATTCTTAAGAATTATAAATTAGTAATTTGAAAGTATGATAAGTCAAAGAAATTCAAAACCATTCAGCTGTCCACTGTTGTAAGACTAGACAGAAAACTAATTTGAAAAGTAATCCTAATTTAAATACATTGGTATGAATACATTATTTAGGCTACAATTTCATAGCTTCATATTCATGAGATTAGGGTTATTACTTCACTATGGCAATGATTATACATCTAGTGGATTATAGCAAATTTTAGTTCAAAATATCAGTTATCTAATTTATTAAGACAGAATATGATTATGATTTTGGATGGACTGAAGGTTTCTTAAAATTAGCTTATGTTTCAAATTGTCCTTCAAAAATTGAGATTCACAACTTGTGATGGATTGACTCTTCTTTGTCTTTTTTCTCTGCTTGGAAAGTTAAAATCAATTGACTCTCCCATGCTTCACATCGCTACCTTTCTTATTGCAGCTCAGTACTGTAGGTGTTCATTTCATGGACATTATTATTACTTTATTTCCCAACTAATCTCTGCCTCACCCTCTCTAACACTTCAGTATTCACTGTCTTTCTTTTCCTTCTTCCCACACTGTAACCCATCCATCAAACTCCTAAAGCTCACTGAGAGTACCACCATACAAACCATCAGAGCTTTATTGTGCCTTAATCTTTCTGCTACATGGACTGGAAAAGTTCAGTCCTCAGTCAATCCTGCTGTCCATCGCTTCTACTTTTCATTCAGGTTTCTGAATGCTCCTGAATAAAATCACACAGTTCTATGGATTTGTGTCAGTAAAATCTGTTCTCTGCAACCTCAGCTGGAGATTGTAAACTGTTCGAAACATGCATTGTATTTATTTATACATACTTCCTAACCAAATGAGTTGCATATTTTCTGCAGTTAGTAATGCCATCTGATGGGTTTTCTTTGCTAAACCTTATTTATACTAGCAATACTATTGCAAGTTTGGCACATTTCACATTTCTCAATTGTGATTTTATTTCAAAAACAGTTTTTATTATAGAATCTAATATACCAGAGGAAATTTTAATGTAAATGACCTTTAAATAATGCCAATAATTGGCTTTAGTTGTCCTTACTTTACTTATTACTTCCACTCCTCTTGCTGCCTCTGTCAATCAAGAAATTCACAAGGTGGTTCCAGGCTTTTTGGCATTTTAGTCCCCTGACTTGCAGCACATTATCCTCTAATTAAGTCTCTGTGTTATTTTAGTATTTTGCTTGTTTGGCTCAATATCTCTCTTCCTTTCAGGTTAAATGTTGTAAACAGAAAGCAAGTATAATAGCTGCCCAATCAAATTATAAAAGAAATGCTGAAAAGGTCAAAATAGCAAAACACAGTATGGTAATTTATGCAGTGTAGAATGTATTAAAATTCCGGCCTTCATTTGATTCAAGGAAAAGGTGACATGGCAGAATAAAAATGACATAGTGTGTCGAGAGTCAAGTCTTATCCTCTAGCCGACAGGAATTTATCACTTTTATTTGTTCCCCTATGTTGGGAACATCTCAACGCTTGTTCAAAGGAAAAGTCAACCCTGCGCCCAGGAAAAGTCTCTCTTGTGCCCAGTGTCAAGTTCTACATAATTCCCCACTCCCTATTTGACTTTAAGAAGGGGAAGGAGTAGGCTGATACTTTCCAGTCCTGTCACTCACCCACAGTCCTCACAATCCCTCCTACGCTTAGGTTTCTTCACAAACACTGCTTAATAGGCAGATCAAGGACATCCATATTTAAAAAATAGTGGAACGTGTATTTTAGCATGTGCCAATAATTAAAGGCTCATATTTACAAATAGAAGTTGATACAGGAGAACTAATACTATCAAGGTACAAAATCAGCATGAATTTTGTTGTATATGGGAAGGCCTTATCTAGTCAAGTTTGTGTACCCAGATGTTCCTCAGTGTGAGTTCAGCCACTGGAGTCTAGTCCACCTATTTAGCATCACTCCCTCCATTAAAGAACATCAGCTATCCCTCACCCATCAGTGATGAGCTGCCAATAGTTACTTGGCAAAGTTGTGGCCTGCTGCCCATCTCTCTAGTCTCTGCTATTTTTTGTCTAACTGAATCTGCATGGGTCTCGGGTATGCTGTCACCACTGCAATAAGTTCTTATGAGAAAGTTCCCAGAAGCCTCTAAGATTCTGCTTCCTTATTGCCACTACTGCTCATGAGCTTCAAGATACAGATATAAAAGTACATTGCTAAGGAAGCACAGAAAGATACATTGATTAAAGTCACACCTTTTTCTTATGTTTATTATTCATTTGATACTGTAATTACCAGGACAAGGGCAATTTATTATTGATGGAAAATTCCAACATTAGTATAAGTTGACTCAAGCGGGAAGTAAATAT